TTTTTTTTTTTTTTTTTAAAAAAAGGAAAAGCCTGACTGATGACAACAGGGTGAACAAACCTGAAGTCTCCAGGGAAATATTAACTATCTTAGCTGGGGGCTCTTATCTAAAGCAACAGGTAGTTTTCAACTACAAAGAGTTTCTCATCTATGTGCTGTTGACTATGAAATATTGCTAATAAAACATCATGTGTTGTCTCCTGAGCTACAATATATAGATAGTCCATATATTAACTGTGTTTTTACTTAACAAGACAAGATTTCTATCTAGGCCCTTGTAACCAGCAATGTTGCTGCCCTGGCCCAGGACTGAAGTTATCAAGCTGGCCTGGGACTGAAGTTACCAAACTTCCTGCAATCCCACCTTCGAAAGACCCTTCCCAGTAATCAAGATTTAAGAAGAAAATACAACAGACAAATGGACTTCCTCATCCTGAGAACTGTGATTGATTTTACCTGATCTGACAAGACAAACAGCATGTTTTATAATTATTGTTTCCATGCTTTGTATACCCTGTTCCTTAGAGTAAAAATTTTACTACCCCTCACCCCCCTTACTTCCTAAACATCCCTCAATAAATACGTGTGTTTAATATCCGCTAGCGCTGCAGCCTGGAGCTGACTCTGACTGCGGCCAGCTGAGAACATGCTAAGAGACAATGAGGTCTCAGTCTAATTTTTGTTTCTGATCATCCATGTCACCTTCCTATGTACGAGTCTCAAACCCACCCCCACCAAGGCTGGACCCCGGCACAATGGTTATTCAAAATGTTTTAACTTAAACTGGCTGTCACATGATTCAAAGTATTAGTTTAGTTAACAATTAAAAAATGTTATATTTACCTCCTCCATATGATTGACTTGCTGCTGAAACCACTTTAATAAAAAAAGAATGAAACCAAAAAGAAATAGTTAATGACAATTACATGTCTATAGTAAAATAAATGTGCACATAAATGTGTGTCTGGGCTGTGAGTCTTCATCTATCAAATATCAATCACACTATCAATCCTGACCCAAACATCATCTAAAATTCAGAGTGCTACAAATGCAACATACGTACATATACACATACATACATATATACATGAAACATGCATATATGCCTAAATAAACTTTTAAAACATGTACAGGCTATTTTGACTTCCTCAAAACCTAGGACTTTTTCTTCATTTACATGTATTTATGTATTAAGTCTATTTAGTAGACTTACACTGCAGTATATAGAACATACCTTAAAAAGAGATTCCAAAATCTGGAAAATAATGTTTTAGTTAGTATATTTATAATGAAAATTCTTCACAATATATGATATATTTCAAATCCTTTGCAATTTCAATCACAAAATGGCACTAATTGCAAAAATATAACTTTACAAATCTACAGTTCAAAATTATAATATTTTCATATTTATAGTGTTTTAGTCCATCTTATACATACAACTTAGTTCTATAGTTTAAAAAATAATTTTCTGTTATTATATATCTATATTAGGAAGACTCCAGACAATTCACATAAATCATTTTGTATATCTTCTCAATATATATAAGGGATAACAGAAGAGCATTATATTTCTTTTCATAATGCATTAAGTATAATAATAAAAAACATTGCCTTACTAATACTGCCTGCTCAATACAACTTTATTCTTGCTAAAAGGCCTTTATAAACATATACTACTACTTGCTATTTTTAATAGAAAATGTAAAAAACTAGTTTGAAAGATGGTATGAGAAATTAAATAAATACATAAAACCAGTTACAGAGTCTAAAATATAAACATTAACCATTTCTTTAGAAATGAAAGTTTAAAATGAATTTGCTACCAGGGACTAGATGATGGTGCAGTGATGAAATATGACACTCTGTGAGGATGACCCATAATAGAGGGTTCTTGAGTTCAAGTCTGGAGACCTTCCTGAGTTATGCCGGATAGCTGCATCCCCATGATCCAGGGCTAGCTGAGACTAGGTGTGGATCATGGCACAAGGACCCTGTTGGGGGTGCTATCTCTCTGTTGCTTTCTCTTGCTCTTTCTCACTCAAGAAGGAATAAATGAGTAAGCTTAAAAAAGAAAGAAAGAAAGAGAGAGAGAAAGAAAGCAGGCTGCTATTTTTAAAATAGACTCACATCTGCATTAAAGTTTTGAATTATGTTGTTAAGAAAAATATTATTACATGCATTCAGGCAGAAAAAAAGTTCCAACTAAGCAAAAATTAGTGTAGTTTAAAATTTCTCTTCTGCAACACTAAGTCAAGATCAGTGGTTCAAAAAGTGTAGTCCCACCACTAACAGCATCAGTATCACCTAGAAGCACACTGATTAGGAATGCAAATTTATGGTCCTGTCCCAGACTACTAAATAGAAACTCTGGGAGTGGGACCAGCAATTTATGTTTTAACTAGTCCTCCAGGTGATTGTTTTGCATACTAAAGTCTGGGGATCACTGAGCGAAATATTAAGAAAGCATAGATCTTAGGGGGAAAAGGGCTCAGACTCTCCAGAAAATATACCAGAGAAAATTAATGTATATGTGAAGAAAAATATTTCCAGTTCTATTAGGACTTGGAAAATCATTTGAACTAAGGCACATTATCTTGGAAAAACATCATTCTTTCCACTATTAAGAGAGATTATTACAGGTTCTCACGTCCTCCGTTCATGTCTTGGAACCTTTTTAGCAGTGCTACTGAGGTAGGACTTAGAACTCTAGGAAACGATAGGACATGAGGCCCAAAGATGGAGGCATAATAGTCAAGCTTGCACTGGGAATTACTTGCTCACAAGAAATGTCCTGCAGCAGTGACTCAATTATTGATCTATGCAGCATAACCTAACGCAATTGCAGCATGATTGAAAGCAATTATGGCTTTTCCATTTTCCTGCTAAATTGCAGAACCTATTGGGTTGTCAGGATAAGTCATGACATACTTTTCTTCTTTCCCAACAACCTAATAGATGATAGTCTTTAGGGTCTAAAGTTCTCAGACAAAGCCTTGAGCAGTCATTTACCACTAGTTTGCTAAAAAGAACAACCTGAATAACATGTGAGACCCAAGAGAAAAAAAAAAGAACAAGTTCTTCCTAGGTAAGATAAAAACCCCTGATGAGATCTCCATCTCTACCTCTGCCGCCCTTTCTGGGTTCAGTTTCATGACCATAATCCCGCCTAGTCAGGGTCCTCCCCTTCCAAATCCCAGTGCTAGTGCTTATTCTTTTCTGTCCCTTTTAATTTTTTTCTGTTTTAAAAAACAATGTTCTGACCCCTTTGTGCCTTTCTCTTGCTAATTTTTCTCTTCTTCCCTCCCCTAGGGCAGATCCTTGCCGGCAACTCCATCTCTGCCTCTGCTGCCCTTTTCCATTTTTAACTCAATTTTATTTTCTGCAACGTGTTTTCTGCTTTTATCTCCTCTTTTTGTTCTAGTTCTTTCCTTCTTTTTTCTTTGTTTTTCTTGCTATTTCTATTTCCTAGTTTCTTTTTACGCTACTTTCTTATTTTATTGCTCAGCCCTTATCCACTGCCTAGAGAAGGGTAGGTGCATAGTAGCTACACAACTGAACACTGTGAGTTCTAGAGAATTCTTTCCCCTTCACTGTATTGATTATAAAAAGATGAAAATCGCCTTCAAAATCTGATTTCAAAAATTCCTCCTGTGATTATCACACTGGAGGAGGACACAGTAGAAGGGAGAAAATAGCACCAAAATATTTCAGAGAAAATTGAAATACATGAGCTCACAGTTATAGAATCCTTCTCCAACAAATTAGTCAAAAGTGAATACCTTACCAAATGACTGAAAAATTGGAAAAGAGCATAAAAATGAGAGAATCAAGTAATACATCTCCAACAAGGGAACACTGCAACTCATCTCCAAGTAGGGAAAAATAAGAGGACATTACTCAGAAAAAGAATGTAGAATATTTATAGAAACAAAACTTTATGACATGCAAGAGAAAAGAGACTTTGAGCTCCAAGAGATAAGGAAGTCCTTCCACAATATGAAAGAACCAGACACAATAAAAAAGAATCAAGCAGAATAGATAGATATGAAGGATGTAATACAAGAAATCAAGCCCCACCAGCCCAGCCGCGCGCCAGGAACGGCC